CCGACTGGTCGGTATCACTTTCTTGCCGTGACTTACAAATTGTGCATCAGAAGGTGCAGGAGAAATTATCGGTTCGTCATATCATACGCACGAATAACTAAATAACAGGCCATTAAGATCGAACATGACGGTATGCAAATTATAAAAAATCAACATGTCAACAAGAATTTTTTAGGCTTTCCCATGCACGCACAAATAGTTATGTAAAGTGAAAAGTTATCATGTCTTGGTGCATCATAGACTCTAAAGTCTAAAGGCTGATCAGTGGAACTTAATAATTTGATATTGGGTTTAGGAAATTAAAGCTGACCAATCGAGTTATTTTTTACTTCCATACAAAGGAAAAGTGTTTTTTTTTTCAAAATGCCGAATATGATATTACTATTTTCACCATGGTCTTGCGTTGGTAAGGAAACCAGGACCGTGAAACGAATATCCAACTTGATTTAGGATTAATTACATATTACGGAGAACAGAATCCAAATTTATTTTTATGATTAAATTTCTATAAAAAGATTGAAGACATGTCGGAGAAATTTAATATTGTTCAATTTTCGAAGAGATTCACGCCGATTTTTTGTTGAAAGAAACCGAAAGTGCTTCGTATTCATTTGAATTCATTATCGAGTGTTACACAATAATTGTTTTTTTATGAGATTGATAACATTTGTTATATCAATAGATATAACGTCAATCAATTTCAGAAAGAATTTAAAAATTAGAAAATATTAATAGAATTGTTATAAGTATGATGATATTAAAAATAGAAACCATTATTTATTTATTATTGCAAAATATTGAATTAGAAATGTTACAGAATTTCATAATATTCATAAAGCCGTTAATTTTAAAATATGCCTTGCTTATTACAAGAGCCAAAAATATTTTCCAAATAAAAACCTCTCGGAGTTTCCGATGTAAGTATAATTATATATCATTTGAACATATTTCTACGTCTTTTTGCTAATAATTTCCGTTATAATTCTATTGAAATAATGCAAAAAAATCATGAATTACACTTCAATGTATAGGACATTTCTCCACATACATTTGTCGTATAGGCTAGAACAGGTTAAGAATGCTACTTTCAATTAAAATAAATAAATAACACGTTTGAGAAAATGCACCGTCAATATAAGGAACTTTGTAAATATCTTTCACTTTTTAATATAATTTTATTTTTTGAAATTGTTGCACAATTTGCATATGTGGAGAGGTGGATAGTAAATATAGCGATTTTATGGAGTGTTACTTTCTTTAATTCAATTGATGATTATATTAGCAGTAAATTTTATGCTAATATGTATAATTTATATTATCAGACAATCATTAATAAAAAAATAGATTTCATACACACTCTTAAAAACTAGGCACAAATGAAACAATTCTAATGGAGAATATATTATTGAAACATTTAAAACAAAATTTCGTGTAATATAATAAATCCACAATAGTTATTATAAAATAATAAAAAACGCTTGTAAAAAATTCATTAATATATTAATTATTAATATGATGCTATGTTACTATTATATAAATTGATGGGCTTGTTTAGAGATATTTATTAATTTAATTTCATAGCCACATAGAGTAGCTCCAGGATTTGGAAATGCTGTACTAATAATAATTAATAAAATATTCATAATATTCATAACAAAAAAATTGTACAGATGGTAATTAATCATTTAATTGATGTATTATAAATATTAATAAATTCATTGATCGAATTAAAATTAGTGATCATTAGTACTATAGATAAATTTAAAAGAGCTTTGAACTTGAATAAATATGATGTATTAGCATTAGTATTATTTTAGATTTTATAAATATGATATATTAGCATTTAGCTTATGCCAACTTTAGTATTGATGGATAAAATTCTCTTATATTAGCGTATAGGATTTTTCAATAATTGTTTTTTAATTTAAAAAATTTCAAAATTATAGTCTCTTCTGGGTCTGGGTCTCGATATATGCACTTGTTACATAGAGGCAGCGCTGTTTGTAACAAACATTTTCAATAAACTATCGTTTTCCCCACAGGAAGCATTTAGCGTTTCATTTACCCATTTCAACAATTAGCATCTCGTCTAATTAAAATAACAAATTTAAGACAATTTACAATTGGTGTATCAGTATGTATAATTGTATATGACCACGAGTCAGGGAACGTATAATGTTAATGTTAATCCGGCGGATATGCAGAGTGCCCGAGAGAAAGCGGCTCTGGATAATAATACGTATAAATAATGCTCATAAACGCGAATACAACTACTATATATCCGTTGTTGCTTCAATTCAACAACATTCAACAACACTTCAACTAAAATCTTGCATAAATTTTATTATGGTAATAATGGACTTACTATTTATTTGCGTTTCTTTACGTCCAAAAGGTGCTTGATTCGTGCGTCCTAAGAGTATCATCAATAAAATCATCAATAAATAAATATATGGGAGCCGTCCAATAAACACGTGATCGATTTTTAAGGATTTTTGTGGGAACCCTTCTCCCTCTTCGTGATATGTGGTGATATTCAAAATTAACCCATTTTTTAAAAATTCAGGTAAAAATTAAATACACGTGGTATTTTACTAGACCCCCCTCCCTCACGTGATAATTCGTGAATTTCTAATTTTAAATAATACAGGTTGACTCTCTAAATTGCGGACAAACAATTGTACCCAAAAATACGTATTTTAATTTAATTTTTTCTAAAGTTTGCTAAAATACTCTTACCAGAAATACCAGAAAACTTCTAAACTTACGACATCTAAAATTTTATATTAATTTAGATACGACATTTGTTAAAACCCTTGTTCAAATATTCCCAAAAAGATCCCAAGCTGTGCTTTTGGCTTCTGAACAAATATATAAAAATTTTACTAATAGTTTACAAATAAGTTATTAATAATTACCTTCTTCATAGATAAATTTATTTCTAATTATTTTTTTTAATTTAAATTGGATTTCTACAATTTTGAATTGCAGAAAAGCCCTTTAGAATTACTGACCATGTTAAATTATATGGTAGTAACTGATATATGGATTTTATTATTATTGTTTATGATAAGATATCTTTTGATTAAATTTATTTATGATTAAATTAAGACTGGCCATAAATCACATAAAAAATCTTTTATCCAGCGAGAGTAATGATTTGCAATAAAAACAATCAAATTCTTCACATTTTGATAATTAATTCAAACCAGTATACAATTCCATATCTTTTTAAAGGATTTAGAAGCCATTAGTTTTATGTATGAGATATGCAAATTTAAAAAATAAAAATAAATTAATTAATACCTGTAAAAGATGAAAACGCCCACGAATAATTTATAATTATCCAATTACCATTTTGAGCCTGGATCTGATCCGGACCGTTAGCTTTTCCATATCCACTTTTAACTACTAGTTTATATATTTCAAATTGAGGACAAATCTTAAGTTTTCTCATATATTTTGTCATTATAGATGTCTGAAATGTCATTGTCGAGATTAAAGGTTAATTTGTACCAGGAATGAGACAAATGAGCATTCTACCTCAGTTATCGATAATGCCGTATGGAAAACGTACTTTTTCCAATTTGCTAGCTTATTGTCAAATAATAATGATGTAGATGTTTACAATCGTTTTTACCGTATTAGTTCTACGTATTAAAAGTCATGTATTTGTGCCGATGGCACACATTTTGAACTTAATATAAGTTTATAACTCATAATGTATAACTTTCAATGCGACATAAAACTTAATATACAAATGGCATGGTAAAAATAATAGATGTTCTCCTGAGCTATGATAGTAGTGACTCAATGAGAGTATAAGCACGAGTTCAAAATTTCACATTTCCAAAATCACTTTTGGACTGATCTCTCTTAATATGCTCAAGACAAAAATTATCATTCATTCCATAGCTTTTTTATATTAGAGGATTGATGACAAGTTTTAAGTTTTTCATAAATTGATAAGTTTATAAAACCTATATGATTATTATAAGATTTATTACCCAAAGTGCTAGCAAAAAATAGTGTTCTACCATTTGCATAAATAACTTCCACGTATTTGGCACAATCTGCAGAAAGTCTTTCTTCTATCTTTTCCAGGGAAAATAGAGGCAAAGCAGGATCTAGACCTGAAAAAAATAAAGTGCACTTTCTTGGTCCATTCAACAACTTGTACATGCTTAAAGTAAGATGATTTATAGTTTAAGAAAAATAAAAGATCTACAAAAATGGGTAAATCTGACGTCCACTACAAATGGGTTGTTGAAGTCTTTGTGGATAATTTAATTGCGTCAGTAATGATTCTAATAATGATTCGTCGATTGCCAATAGTCCATTTTCGACAGATAAGACTGTAAAAATCAGTGAACTTTTAATCATTTTAATTTGCATATACGTATATTGTGTTTTTGATAATTTGGTACTTTCTAGCAAATCATGCTGATTAATTATCAATTGTCTATATACGTCTATTCCATACGTGTATCAATATAATTTTTAGACATTAAGAAATACTTTTCAATTAAAAAGTATTTCTATCCAATTCATATTGTCTGATACGTATTAATTAAGATAGAAATCAAATTGATTGTTTTCTGATGACAATTGGGTTTCCGCCAATGATCTTCCTTCGGAATTGTTTAATCCGATTTTTTAGATAATTATTTGCAAATCTTATCAATAATTAATCTCCAAAAGATATTTATGATGTGCTTATCTACGTAGAATTTGATAAGTGTTTACTATAAAAAATATGCAACGGAATTATACCTTGCAGTAGTAAAATATTTGTGCAACGACCATTAACTTAAAAATAATAGTAATATATTTATAAAAAAATTAAGCCATTATATAATGAAGTATTATATATTCATAACTGCATTTGTATTACTCGCTGAAAGTATGTTAATATTGAGGAATAACTCTTTATATAAAATTACATTGTATTCAGTGCATCAATTTTCTTCCAAGAATTTAATTTTTTATTTATTTTATAGTTCAGTGTCAATTTATAAGAACTGATGAATTTCATGAAGAAACCCGAAAATATATATTTATGCCCGATGGTGAGGGTAAAATACATTTAGTTAAATTATTTGATGATGGAACAAATGTGGAACCTAGGTTTGATGCTCAAAAGGATGTTATTTTTAACTTGTATACAAGGTTTGTTACATTAATACATTTTTTTATTTATAACAATTGCAATATATATATATATATATATATATATATATATAATATATTTTAAAACAATACAAATTTTAATATGACAATGAGTTAATTACAATTGTAGGAAAAATCCTGATGCGCCACAAATCTTAATTCCTGAAAATTTAACAACTATTCAGAAATCGTATTTCGATTACTCCAAACCGACACGAATTATGAGCCATGGATGGCAAACTGGTCCAACTGCAGGATTCAATGTAAATATCAGAAAAGGTAAGTAAAAAAATGTAAGTATGGTTATTTTTTTATTCATCATGAGTTGATTTAATTCATCATTGATTATTTAATTTATTTAGATTTATAATAATTTGTTTATCCCAGGCTACCTAGCGAATGGTGATTTCAACGTGATCGTGATCGATTGGTATTCAGGAGCAAGTACAATTAATTACTTAGCAGCAAGAAATAGGATTTTTCCAGTTGCTGATCGAATTTTCCAATTGGTCGATGTTATGTTCAAAAAATCTAAATTGAAATTGAATAATTTACATTTGGTAGGACACAGTTTGGGCGGGCATATTGTTGGTCTGGTTGGACGACATATCGACAAAAATCTTAAGGATAAAGTTCACACAATCATAGGTAATGGAAATTGAAAATTAGTCAATAAAAAAATATTTCCATCACAATAGAGTATTTTATATATTAAGTTTTAATATTTTTTTTCTGCTGTGGTTTTTATTTTATTTTATTTTTATTAGCCAATTATATTATTTTAATCGCGAATTGAAAAATAAAATGATTTTTGAGAATTTTAGCTTATTTTCTATGGCCTTGCAACGTTTTTGTAAACCCTTTATTTTTTTTAAACAACATATCAGCTTACTTTGAAGGCATACAAGTTATTGAATGGATCAAAAAGTGCACTTACTTTTTTCAGGTCTAGATCCTGCTTTGCCTCTATTTTCCCTGGAAAAGGTGGAAGAAAGACTTTCCACAGATTGTGCCAAATACGTGGAAGTTATCCATACAAATGGTGGAACACTATCTTTTGCTAGCCCTTTGGGTAATAAATCTTATAATGATTATATAATTTTCATTAATCATTAATTTATAAAGAAACACAGCTTATCATTGATCCTTATTAAAAAAAGCTACCACGATATCAATGGTAATTTTTGCCTTGACCATATTAAAATCAGAGAGATCAGTCCAAAAATGATACAATTTTACCTTATGCTTATTTTTTTTATTGAAAATATTTTTTTTACGAAAATTTGTAATTTGATCAAAATTTGCTTGGATTTTCAATTAAATCAAAATTTCCATCCCAAAATATTGCAATAACTTTTAACTCAGGAAAAATGTTAAAGTATGAAAAATCTTAACTTTAAAATTTTCTATAGTTTTTTATAAATATACATACGCATATAATGATTATATATATAACATAGTATACAAATATGATAATTTAATAATAACAATTATATTTTATATTCAATTTTGATTTATGAGTTGAACGGGTTCCATGAACAGTTCTGTGATTTGATATTTGAGTCTTTGTTGTATTTATTTCATTAATAATATAGTGTGACTACTAGGCCAAACCATAAATAATTTTAAGATTTATAACCATAATTATTAGTACAGAGCATTATTTACCGTTTTCTTATAAATTATTAAAAGAAATATTTGTATTTATATTTGTAGCAATCAAAATTTATTAGTTCCAATTTATGATACGCGTTATTAATTCTTTAAGGTATAATAGATTTATATTTTGTTATTGATCGTTTAGGAATAAGTTGGAAATATATTTGTGAGATCTATTAATTCTAAGATTATAATGAAACTAGGTCATGCAGACTTTTATCCTAACGGAGGTTCTAAGCAACCTGGATGCGGACTAGATTTTGCAGGTAACAATATTCATATGAAAACACTACTTTTAATTTACATTATGGTTTTCCTATTATTAATATGTCTTTTCCTCCTAGGTACTTGTTCTCATAGTAGATCACACCAATTATTTGTCGAGACATTCCTGCCTAAGACGTTTGTTTCTTACAATTGTAAGAGCTATGAGGAACTGAAGAATGATAAAAAGTGCACCGTTATCAACGAAATGGTGAAAATGGGCACGGAAAACGGTCTCATGTCGAACAGCGGACGGTAAGTCGATTTTAAATCACTTTAAACTAATTATACTGATGTTATATATGCCTAACAGTATCTAACAACAGATACTTTGAGAATAATAAAACAAATGTGATGGTAATACCACTAAATTCAATAAAATTCTAAAGATCTTACGCAACATCCTCGGCAGCCTTTGGTATTTTGTTATTTTGGTATCCTCGGCATTTGTAGGGATATCTGAAAAAAAAAATCAGATGAAAAAAGTATTTTAAAATTTACAAAACCTTATTAATAACTAAAATTGTTTATATTCGTATACGTACTTCAAAAAATGATTGGAATAAATCATTTAAAAATATATTCTAGACGATCTCACATATTTTCTTGATGTGTTTTTTGGAAACTTCTCTGCTTTAATCTAGTTTGGAATAATTTTTTTGGTTAAAGCTACTTTTATGTTTAGATTATAAATAATTTTCCATACATTTTAGTATGATACAAAAATTGATGGACATTCAATTCTTACATCACTTAGAAATATATCCCGTAAGTTCTCAAACAACATATTTCCTCAAGAAGTTTCTAAGAAACCTCTAAATTCAATCTTCAAATAGTTCTTCATTTTTTAATGTATTTTTAAAATTTGAATAAATGTATTTTTTCTTATTTAAATAAATAAAATCTTTTACACATTTTTTTGCTATGCTTATAATGATATCATGAATATTATTATGATATCATATTTTCTACCAAATCTAGTATGATACAAAAAATGGTAGAAAAATTTCATTCATTCAGTTTTAGGTTGTACATATGATATGTACTTGCTGAATATATTTTTTATAAATACACTTATATTAAACTTAAATTATCTTCAAAACATTCAAAGAAAATTCGTCGAAAAAGCTTGACTAAAAAATTAGTAATAAATAGAATAGATTCCGTAACCCTGAAAGTTAAAAAATCGTGTAATCTCTAATTGGATTTTAAAAATTTCTTCAAGTAGTTGAATCTTAAGATAGAAGTACAATATTTGCAGACACTTTACCTTGGTACAATTATAAAATAAATATCCGTAGAAGTAATTATAGACAAACATAAAATGAAACATAATAAAACAACTGGCTTTGATGTATATCAAAAGCCAATAAATAAATAAAAAAATACATTATAAAATTTTATTTTTATCCATCACATTTAAATTTTAAAATTTAACAGTATAAATTGATTTATGTTATTTTTTTATTCATTATTTATTATATTTTTGTTATTTTTTATATAGAGCAAAAGGAATCTATGTTAATAAGACGAATAAAGAAAGTCCATTTTCGCAGACACCTGATGAAAGCGCAACGGAAATCGAAATTTAAATATTTTCGTATTATACGAAGTGATTAGTATCTAATTATAATTGTAAATATGTATATAAAATAACTTATAATAGTAAGTATTGTAATACAAACTTGCTAAAAATGATGTAATAAGTAATAATTATAATAATTATTATGCATTAGTGTCGATGTGAATTTTATAATAAATAAATGATATATAAAATAGTTAAATAATACTTATTCCTACCAAATTTTTATTTTCGGGACTCATAATATTCAAAACCTAATTTTATCATTATTTAACTTTGTATGTGTTTGTTAATTACAATTAAGATTTATCTCAAGTAAAATTTCTAATTGTGAACTGTTAAGATAAATTGAACAATGAAATTTTAACATTTTTGATAATCGGAATATCTATGATAATTGATATTAATATATAAGATTATATAACTGATTTTAAAACAATATCACGATCATAATCTTGGACTTTCCTAAAAGTATTAAATCGATCAATATATATTATCGATGTGTATTTGAAAGCATAGCGACGGAATTATTTATAAATATACTTTAATATTTATATATATATATATATATATGTGTGTGTATATTTATATGTTTATTAAATTCGCCTAAGTATACACCTGATACTTGTTTTAGAAGCGACATGCTGTTCGATGATGCCCAGGTGCAAATACTCTCTATAATTTGACTAACGGTTCAGTATTCGAATTCCAGTCTCAATTTTGCATATTTTTACTCTTAAGAATAAAAATATGCAAAATTAAACAATTATTTAACACCAATCACAAAAAAAATATCCTAACAGATAAGTATCCTAAAACAGCAATGTTAATGTCAAAATACATTTTTATTCATCGTATACAATAATTTTATACACAACATATTATTGCAAATTTATCTATAATAAAAACAGATTATCAATGAGTATATGCAGAAAATATAGTATAAACTTATAAGCTAATTTAGGCTTCGTTTTGTATGCTCAAATCGCGAACGTGAACTCTATTTCTCGAAAACACATGTAATCCTTCTTCAATTTGAGTCAACTCTCGTTCCAACAATGCACGACGATTTCTTGTCCTCAACGTATCGGACTCCATCGGAAGGGCGTTATATTCCTACCAAAAATATAAAAAACATAGTAAAATACTATAGAATTAAAAATATACTTACTGAAACTTATCGGAGACCATACCTGTGAGAGGACTTCATATTTATTCCTCAACGCCTGCAATGTGATCTGGCAGGTTTCTGGCAATATTGTTACATGACCACGTGGACGAGTTGGATCTTCATTTTGTTCAATATCTGTTGCCTGCAGGACTCTGGCAATGTCCATTTTAACATCACCAACAGCAGCAGAAGGCCTGGAAAATTCACTTCACATTAAACAAGATCTAACTGTTAGATTCTAACACAATCTAATATAGAAAGAAGATTCTGTAGAAAGAGCAAAACCTAGCTAAGCACCATGAATATCTGTTGAGAAACTGACAGTGTGATAAATTTTATATTAGAAGTACCAAAAATAACATAATTCAATTTTTATTTATTACCAGTCCCATCTGAAGTCATTCTGCCTATCGTTGGTCAACTTGTCCTTCATGTGATTCATGTAGCGTTCAACAAAACTGGGTTGAGGCACTTCTTCCACTTCAGGGCTAATTGGCAACTGCTGGATTTCATTAATATAGTCTCCTCCTGCTTCTTCGCCCGGCTCGGATCTAGTTTGTTGCACCTGCTGTTGTTGCATTTGCTGCTGCTCGTAAACTTGTTGCTGACAGCGTTGTTGCTGGTCTAAATTTCCACAGCTTGCTGCAGGACGAGTGACTTTCTGCGGTACCTTTTGCAGGTGAGTCTGCGATACTGGCGGTTTGCGATATCTGGTAAAAAAACAAGTTGAAATACTTCTAATTATTGATCTGATGATTTTGATTTACCTAGGAGATTTGTTGTTCATCGGGGGCTGATAGGATCGATACGACGAGGATGAGGGCGTTGCGCTGGGTCGGCGTTGCAAGTGGCTAGGAAGTCCTGCTGGTGGTCGCAGCATCTGAGAAGAATTCATGTTACCATTTCCGTATACCATATTCGAAGGTTGTGGTTGGGGAACCGATGATCGAACTCGTGTTGGCGCAGGACCTTGGCTACCGGTGGTTCTTGTGGCGCCATTCTTGTAGTCTTCATGGTAAGGTAAGGGAAGAGAGTTATAATTAAATTAGAGAATATTCAATAATGCGCAGTTGGCGCAGATCATCTAAATTTCAACAAATATTTAAAAGCATAGTCATGCTCATTTCGTACTGGAGTATCTTCTGCTAGAATTTTAACTCATTTATTAATTAATAAAATTTCTACTGCAAAAAATAATAATAATGAAATAATTTAATGTCCTGTGAAAGTAAGGAAAATATAATATAAACCAACAAAATAATTCCACAAACGGTTGTTTAAAAAAACATTAAATAATATAAGGAGGACCTTTTAAGCATTCGTTTCTCTCTTAATGGAAAAAATATTATTTATTTTACAAACTCTTCGAAGTAAAAGCTTTAATTTTATATTGTTTAACTACTAATTTCGGCTATACAAATAATACAATAATACAAAAATAATGTGCATTCAAGTATCTATAACACAGGCGCATTTTAGTCCCAATATTTTACTCACTTGCTGTGCATGCTCTCGAAGGGGTTGCTGACGACCGTGCATTTGGCTTGTTTTGCATCATCGCATTCCGTTTAGGGTCGAAATTTTGTGAAGTATTCATATCAACTATATTAAAAACTTTTTATAATCAAAACCGTATTCAATAAAATCCTCGACATTTAATTTAAAATGTGTGATTCAAAAATATATATATCAATTTGTATTTAAAAAAATATAAATTTTGGAACGGACTAAACTTTAAAACCAAACATAATTTTATAACTGAATACTTTTGTTTACACACTGGTTACTAGGATATATTTTTGAAGTGCGGTGTGTTTTGTCCAATGTGTCAATTTTGAGAATTTATATTCAGAATCACATCTGTATATAATTAAAAATTCAAATAATTTACATTTATATATGATATAAATAAAACAAAATTAAAAGGAAATAGTGAAGGATATCCAGAACAAAATATAAATGAATGAGTATATATAAATTTAGTCTCAATAATTTATTTATGTTATATGCATTATAATTAGATTTTACAATACACTCAGTAAACAAAGATCAAGTGCTGTTTTAAGAAAACATTAAATTTATTTTATATCTAATAAAATATGAATATCCTTAATTCAAACCCTACTTTAAAATGTCTTTAAAAGTTAAGAATTAAATAGTTGTTCAAATGCGTAGTAGTCTATTCACTTTAATCATATGAATCATTGGTAATTGTTTATAAGTACATGAGCATTGTTTGAAAATAATTTCCAATTGTTTTCAAACATATGTATCGGGTTTATCAATATTATTACTATCAATCACTTATCCACGTTCAAATGGATAATTGAATAATTCATTGTATATTATTAATAAATATATATTATAAATAATAATTTTAGAATTGGATATGTGATTGCAGTATTGTTTGCAAGCAATTGACAAAAATGACAAGATATACTATGTGAAAGAGAATAAATTCTTCGAGAGATTTTATAAGGAATAGGAAGCTAGGTACTTTATAAACTTTATTTATTTATTTATTTATTTGTTATACATAACAATGAAACTAATCAGCATTCCTTGTTCTTGGATAAAAAACCTTAGTATAAATTTTTTATAATTTATAATTATTTCAAAATCATTATTGAAAGAATATAACTGCAATTAACTATCTTTCAAATACAGGATTCAATGTTATATTTACAGTATTAAGCAATAATGTATTATCGTTTTAAAACCTAAAATTACAAATAATATTCACTATAATACTATGTACTATTATAGGACATGACTACAAAAACCTATTGCGCTACATTAAAGCTTTTATTTTATATCGATCACTAACTTTGTTCATAATATTAATGTATTACTTCATTAAATCCTTTTATTGCATATAGTATTAACTATAACTCTAATTAATATACTTATAGTTGTCTATCCTATGAAAAAACATTGGTATGGCAAAACATACAGAAGAAATATGATCTCGTAGGTAAGACTTAAGTTGTTACGATACTCTTAGGACTGATAACAATATGTATATACTACTTGAACTTCATATGTTAAGATATGGAAGTGTACAATGATACTTTTTTCTATTTTATAGTTATGTATATTATTTCTGCAAAAAAGAATTATTGTTAAATATATAAATTTAAAGCGTAGACTATAGAAGAAAAATAATTATAATATTGTCTTCATATATAAATAAATATATATATATATATATATATTTGTGATAATGAGTTAGTATATTCCTCTGAGTACTTCATGAAATTAATTAGGCCTGTTTAATTTTATTATTCCATTCTCGACTGTGACTGCAATTGAAAAGACTTCAGATTTATACAAATTATACAAAAGTATATATACTAAAATATATCATAATTAAATATATTTGTATAAGTCTCAAAAGTAATAATATATGTATACATATGTACAAAGAATAGTAAATAAAGCAGTATATATGTAATTATATATATTCTCTTTGATTTATTATCATAGGGCATTGTAATATGTACTTTGTATAACAATATGAAGAATAAAACTTAAACATTGGCAAAGAAATGCACCTAAAAGTTATTAATATTATGCTTTAATAATTAACAATTTTCTGCAAAATGCTAAAATTTTAAACAATATTGTAAAGTTGTCATTTGTAGAAAATGTGTTCAATGTGTTTCATTCACAATTTCACTTGTGTCAGCAAATCATTATTGAGAACTTACATAAATCCAAAGTCGTTATAAAATAGTTATAAACAAATTTTTAAATTATACAAAATAAATATATCAAAGAACATCAACAATAAAAAGTGAGGTTAGAATTTACACAAAATGCGCAATCGCGTAAACGTC